ACTATACTCGGAATTTTAATTCGATTCCAGATTTGACAATTTCAGTTTTGCAACGTTATGACAAGTACTAAATAGTGACGTTGCGAAATTATTCGATATGGAAATGCAATATTTCTGGATCGATTCTTCTCGTTTATAATTTTACTCTCGTAAACTAAGTATATCAGGAAATTAAATATTTCTGAACCGATAATTTAGTTTTGACGATTAATAAACGATCTGAAACTTTTCTTTTATAATTGTGTGTGAAATAAATAAAAAAATGTAATCATGAAGCAACATGACAAATAAAACAGATAGATGTATTATGGTAATAAGTTATTTTATAAATTGTCGCCGTCATCGCTATCGCTACCCTGTCACTTTCTGTAACATTTATTATAAAACACACACACTGATTGTTTATCGATTTTTGTGTTCATCACTAGACTATTATATGTGGTATCATTATTTCACAAAATGACAGTAGGTATTGTCAAATCTTGAATCTAATTAAAATTCTGAATAGAGTAATAAAAGTAATATTTACACAGAATACTTAGTTATTTATTTCGTACGACCGTTTACAATGTGAGATTCAAAATGAGAGAGAGCGCGACACCAGTGGCAGAAAACTGAACTAAAATGGTTGCGTTCGAAAACTATGTATCTAACATTAATTATTAACTTGTAATATGGGTGTATTCAATGCCTGAATTATAATAAAGTTATAATAATAAACGATTTTTTTTTAATTTAATTTCATTAAGCAATTAATAGGTTTTGATTTTTTTTACTTTTGACTGCCTCGTTGGTCGAGTGGTCGCAACTGACTGCCGGACAAGGGGTCTAAGGGTTCGATTTCCGGGTCGGGCAAAGTATTACTGTGTTTTTAAAAAATTCTCAGTAGTAGCACGGAGCCTGGAATTGTGTCCGGTATATGGCAATAGGCTCACCCCCTAATACAGGGGACTCATAACATAAATATTGAAAAGTGGGTGTTACATTGTACAGTGACAAATTATGAACCTCTGCCTACCCTTATGTTATAAATAGATTTATGGGTGAACCTAATTAATACCAGATGACTGTTTCCAGATTCTACGAACCCCCAATGTCGGTTGAGGCTCTGGAAGCCATTTCAGAAGTTGATGAAAAACTGGTCGAAAGCATCTTGCCTACGTAAGTATATGAAAAACCTTTACATTGGTACATTACACATTTTAGCTAATCATAACCAGTATAAGCTGACCGTTGAATGTACGGAACGGTCATACAAAGGTAGACCACGATAAAATGGTTATGTATAGCTCCACGCATCTAGCTATAAATATCCAGTATAAGCTGACCCTCAAATGTACGGAACGTTCATAGAAAGCGGGACCATGACACACTGGATGTGTATAGCTCCACGCTTCAAGGTATGCGTAACTAGTATAAGCTGACCGTAGAATGTGGGGAAAGATTATACGAAATGAGGCCACGATAAAATGGTTTTGAATAGCTCCACGCATCTTGATGCTTGAGAGCTTGGCTTTGTATAACCAGTATAGGGTGACCGTTCAATGTACGGAAAGATCATACGAAGCGAGGCTACGATACACTGGTTGGGTATCTATAGCTCCATGCATCAAGGTATAAATCCAGTATAAGCTGACCTTCGAATGTACAGAGTGGTTATACAAAGCCAGAACATGATATATTGGCTTGTATAGCTCGATTTGTGTAAAATGATTTTCTCGATTAAATTCTGATTCTTTATAAAACATAGCCTGTTACTCACTCCTTGAAAAGTAAAAATTTTCAACAGTGGATTTTTTTTAAATCGGTCTAGTAGTTCAGGAGTTAATGCAAACAATCAGTTAAGAAATGCAGGCCCTGAGTCCTCATCTAGTATTATAAAGATTGACGTGTAAAGTATTACTTTGTAACTAGCATCTGTAGCCAAATGCCATTTAGCGCTTGTCTACATGTAGAATTGAAAACCAAATTATATGGAATTGACGTAAATTTTGACACCTGTCAGTGTCATCCCCATACATTTAGTTTTGTACTCTCTCTGTAGACAAGCGTTAAAGGGGCGTGTGGCCCGTGGCACATTAATCAGACAGCCCCATGTTCACAAGAAAAAACAAAGAAGCTTAGAATGAAAACTTCTCAACGGGGCCCCTTCTAGCTGGGGGCCCATGGCATTTAACCGGCTTGCCACCCTGTAGGCTACTGTTTATAACCTATCTACAGAAATAAATATCATTTCATTTCAAGACTGACTGCCTCGTTCGCCGAGTGATTGTAAGTGCGACTGTCGGGGCAAGGGGTCTCGGGTTCGATTCCCGGGTAGGGCAAAGTATTACTGGGTTTTTAAAAATCTCCGTAGTAGCACGGAGTCTGGAAATGTGCCCGGTATATGGCAATAGGCTCACCCCTATGACATGGGACTCATAACATAAATAGTGAAAAGTGGGTATTGTAATTTGTACAGTGGCATTAAGTCCGGCCGCAATGTCCACCTCTGCCTACCTCTTCGGGGATAAAAAGGCGTGATGTTATGTTATGTTAAAATCTTTTCCCTTTACAATAACTACTATTCTGATTTTTACTATTTTTTTTCTCATTTTTCAGACTACTTGGAACCCGTCCGAATACCTATTGCTTTACCAAGGCCGTAGCTGAAGAGGCTGTCAGGACTTACGGGGAAGGACTCCCCATTTGCATCGTCAGACCCTCCATAGGTAAGGTTTGAGCATTTTCGACAATAAATATGTATTCCAACTGATCATACAGCTACAGCAGACTGGAATACATTTGACCACCGTGTGTCTTCCCTCGGGAGGTTTAATAGCCGACTAAGGCCAGAATATTGAAATGCTACTCATTCTTAACTTGTTCTAAAAATAGTACAAGTTAAAGACCTACACTTAATCGCGACTTAAAATCGAGTGATGTTTGAGTATTTAGCGGTAAGGGACTCTATTTGACAGAGACCAGGGAGCTTACCCTTGAACCCAATCTCTCCGCTCCGGTCGGGCCGGCCCATTCGTGCCGAAGCATGGCTCTCCCACACTTATAAAGTAAAACCATAATAAACTGGTTTTGTTTATCTCGAGAAAGATACTTTATTCCATATATTTATTTAAAATTTCTCTAAAATTACATTTTTAAATACTACAGTATAAAAAATAATATTTAAAAATATAAAAATAGGAGCCGACCAGTAGTGGGAGCATGGTCCAAGCTACCGGTGGTTAGGGCTCCAGAGATAGAAACCTCCTCACAATGCGCGCCGTTTCAAGGAGAACTGCCTTCTGTATCAGGCCCTTGACCCAACTGTCTAACGCTAGCCTCCTAAGGTGGTCGTCGAGGCTATTAGGGATTAACCCATTGGCCGACACGACTATCGGCAAATTATTATTATGGACATTATTTTTTACAGTTGTATCTACTTATGAAGAGCCTGTGCGAGGGTGGACAGACAGTGTGTACGGACCCACCGGGCTTGTCGTCGGCATTGGAACGGGGGTAAGCAAAACTCTAATTTCATTAACATTATCTAACAGCCACAAGACGTCTACTGCCTTCCAAGTCATATAGTCTTCTCCCGATGACTTCCACATCGGTCGGAAGCGACATGCCTACAGCGGTTCCTTTTTCCTGAAGGGAGAAAATAAGTTTATAATAACTATCGTGAAATCTATTGAATTAACTAAAAATGACGAGTTCTCGAGTATGGCGACACATCTCACATGTCAAATGAAGCACATAGACTATCGATGAAACGAATCAACGTATGACGTCACAAAGTCCTAGATCGCACATGTGAAGTTTCCATGCGAATTAACACGGATAGAAAATCCCAACGAACAACTGTTGGGCAAAAAGCCCGCCAGACACGATCACCTCGCCTGGTCGGAGGATCCTCCTTTTCCGGTCTTAGGGAACTATACTCTCTGTTCCCTAAACGAGAAAGACAACGACGGTCTTCGCAGTAGACTGCGCGACATCGCCGCGGTCGCTCACGCACGCTGCTCGTGAGGAAGAGTCCATCTATGACTCGAAACTAGTGTAGACGTTTTTGCAGTATATTTACATATGTGTGAACTGACATTTTTAGTCAAAGGGGGAAAATCATCAAAACGAGTGCCACCAGTTAATTAAAATAAGTAATGAAATAATTGTGGCATCTCTTCCTCCAGGTTCTTCGAACAATGTACATGGATCAGGAGAAGGTGGCTGATATGGTGCCAGTGGATTTATGCGTCAATGCCATCCTAGCGTCAGCCTGGTACACTGCTAAGAATTACAAGGAAAAGTGAGTATGAACAGACCTTCAAGATTAATATAATTAACTGATGCCTTTGCTGCATGGTATACAGAAACTATAGAGCGCCACCGACTATGCTCCTTATAACTAAATATCATTCTTCTTTATAAGCTGAGTTCTACCACCTTTTTGTGGGATTTTTGAGAGCCAAAACTCATCAAGCGATTCTTCTCACTCTGGGTAAAGCGAATGGGAGATTCAGACTCTTATTAAACTACCACTGTACAACTCGAACCCTGGTAATGGCAAAGGATGATAAATGTGTAAGTAACTATACCGATAATCTGATGGTAAGCAATCGTCGTTTATGGACATTCGTAACACAAGAGGAGTTACCAAGTGCATTGCTGCCTTTTTGAGAATTAGTGATGGGGGAAAGATTAGTTGTCCATAACATTTTGGTCGCTTTTTTAACTCATAAGTCATTTCTTGTTGTTTTTTTCCAGTCAAACTTCTCATATCCCGATCTACAACTACGTGTCTGGAGCACAAAATCCCCTGACTTGGGGAGAGTTTATCGAGAGGAACCGTAGATATGGTATCGATAAACCAACTACGAAGGCTGTTTGGTAAGTCCAATAATAATTAAAAAAAAATATTTTTCAAAATAAACGATTATCAGTATTAAAATAACTACGTTGATTAAGCAGTCACGGTCGGGCTTTTGGAAATTTCTAGACTCCGTGCTATTCAAAAATTTACGAAACAAAGCCTTTGGGCCCCCGGTAACCTCAGTCACACGACGAAACCAACACAAGTGTTGTTTCACGTCGGTTTTCTGCTCGGCCGTGGTATCATTCCGGTCGAGCCGGCCCATTCGTGCTGAAGCATGGCTCTCCCATACTTGTAAATATAGTTGAAAAACGGCAGATGTAATGTCACTTAGAAATGATAGAAGCACCAAAATGTCGGTGGTGTATTTATATATAGTAGCCAGGTGCCACAGGCTTTGTTTCCAGAGACTGCGTCCGCCTATTTTTAACGACCTTGGGTTTTAAACACATTTTTTATATTTAATCTCCTTGTTTTAGGTACTACGGACTAAACCCGACGAATAATTACTATTTGTTCCTTTTCTACAATTTCTTCCTACATTACTTGCCTGCTTTAATGATCGACACCTACTGCGCTATCACCGGGAAGAGACGGGCGTAAGTACATAATTACATACATTCAGATAGACTGACAGAGAATCAAAATACTTACATACATTTTTTTTAAAAAAGCAAACCCTTTAGACAAACTTTACTTTGTTTCTACGAAACAAATACTAGATGGCGTTGTACACAATTTACTTCGTACGTTCAGGACGCTATCGAGCTCTCACATTTTTGTATTTAATTTTTAAGCTTGTCACAGTAAAACTAAGTTAAAAATATACAAAAGAGAGAAAGCTTTTTGAAAAAATCACTACAGCTACTAGAGGAAACCTGCCCATGCTACGTCTTCCGGTCATTTTGTAGCCACTTACCATACTTAGCCAGTTTAAACCCACTTTTCTTAGATTTTAAAGAACCCCTAAGTTAAAATATGTGACACTTAACGATATTGTACTTTTCACCCACCTATAAGTGACACTTAACGATTAGGCGCTAAGTAACTCTTACTTAAGACATGATTAGATAAAATGACGATTAATCTAACTTGCTATCTATTTTTTCAGAATGCTGAAGTTGTACTCAAAAGTGATGAAACTCGCCAATATTTTGTTTTATTTCTCAACGCAAGATTGGAAGTTTTCTGATATGAATGTGAGAAATATGTGGAATTCCCTGTCTGATGCCGACCGAGTCGTATTTCCATTCAGCATGGGAGAAATGTCTTGGGAATACATGTGCGAAACTTTCTTAGTTGGTGCGTATTTTTTTAATTTTAAATATTTCAAAAGTAGCTACTCCTTAGAGTTTCCCCTGTTGTTAGGCGCTTATTGGTCAAGGCGTTATGTTGTATAGCCTATAACCTTTCTTTTTGCACTATGCAACACAAAAAGAATACGGTATTTTACAACTAACTAATCAAATTCAATACTTTTATTGAAACGTTAAAGACGATATTGTTGTAGTTATGAATTTTGTACCAAAAGCGTAGTTTTTAGTAAGTAACAAGTTATTATGAGGTCATCATATTTTCGAGTCAAATAGCACACTTATTTCCGAAAAAAAAATGCTAGAATAAATCGAAAATTAAGTATATCGTCAAATATATGAATGAAATTGTAATAAGTAATTTTTGAATATTTAATTGGATTGTAAAATAAAAATAATTGATTTTTGACCAAGGAATATATCCAATTTGTCAAATTGGAGTCGGGCTAGTAGTTCCAGAGATCAGCGCGATCAAACAAACGTTTTAACTTTTTATTAGAACGGTTCTTTTGAGGGGAGGAATTCATCGAATGTCTCCTCCCACCCTGTGTGACGCGAAAGTGTTAGACTCTTACTGACTTAACAACCCCTTTCTTACTCCTGCATAGAAATCCGGCGCGGCACTTTCAAGTTTTGTGTGTATACCAGGTTTTTTTAACAGATATAACATAACATCACGCCTTTTATCCCCCTAAGGGGTAGGCAGAGGTGCACATTAAACCACTGTACAATGTAACACCCACTTTTCACTATTTATGTTACGAGTCCCATGTAATAGGGGGTGAGCCTATTGCCATATACCGGGCACAATTCCAGACTCCGTGCTACTACTGAGAATATTTGAAAAAACCCAGTAATACTTTGCCCGACCCGGGTATCGAACCCGAGACCCCTAGCCCGGCAGTCGCACTTACGACCACTCGGCCAACGAGGCAGTCAGTTTTAACAGATATAATTTTGTACATTACAGGTCTACGGGTGTACCTTATAAAAGACGATCTTTCAACTTTGCCTGAAGCCAGGAAAAAGTGGAACAAGTAAGTTAATCCTACCAATATTATAAATAAAGTTTGTGAGGACGTACGTATGTAGCGCTTTCACGCCAAACTACTGAATGGATTTTGGTTAAACTTGGTACAGAGATAGGTTATAGTGTGGAATAACACATGCGTCTTCTCTCTGTCGTTTCGCTCTTGGCAGAGCGGTCGTGGTCACGTTGAGGCGGCCGTATTTGTGTTGGAGGTCAATACAGCTTTCCCCACGATGTCCCGCCATCTCTCCCTGTGTGTGGATTGTCCGGTGCAGTCTGACACTGGGTTTTGTGTTGCCGATTTGACCCTCGTGATCTGGTCCCCACTACTTTCCCCTAAACGACCAGCCGCTCTATGGAGTTGTGAGCACGACGGGAGACATGGCCAAAGTACTGCAATATGCGCGTCTGTACTAAGATTGATAGACGCTTTATGGTGCTGAGTTTTCAAAGTATGGATACGTTAGTGCGGGACTCAGTTCATTGTCTGACTGTCCACAGTCCAATAACACATTGGCTGCTGAATAATGTCGTGAAGAAGCAAGCAAAACCGATGTTAATTATTCACCATGAAATCAACGTTGATACCCGTCCTAAGTACGAATATAGCGTGACCAGACGTCCCGTTTTGAACGCGACTGTACTTTTTATAATTTATTATGAGTCCCATTGTCCCCAAAATGAACTCTTGGGCGTAAAATTGTCCTGTATTCGGAAACCATGCGAAAAATAGTCGTACCTATGCGACGACGATTCGTGTGGTGTGCGAGAGCGATACAGTACCATTAATAATTCGTTAATTTCTAACGAAGTACAGTCGAAACACCTTTAAATAACTACATTTTTATGCAGTTACTCATTGAATAATAATAAAAATTTAAATTCAACCTTTTTGTTGTGATTACAGGGTCTATAATATGATGGAAATACCAAATATCTGACTAAATCTCAATAAACGAATGTGCCGTTTTGAGTCAAAAAACAAATCGTTACGTTATACTAATAACATGTTTTTTATTTGTTCCAGGCTGTATTACCTTCATCAGATCCTGAAAATCATCACACTGTCTTTAGTTTTATACTTAACCTATTTTGTATTACAGCCGATAATCGCTCTTGTATTCAATTGAAATTATATGACGCTTTAATTTGGTATAAAATTTGTTATAAGCATAATATTGATATAATAAGGACTACTGCTTGTATTGTTCACTAGATGGAGCTTAAGTAGCATTTGTCAAATTTTAAATTGCAAGAAGTACTTGCTCTGTGTCTACGTGTAAATTATTTTGGTTTTCTTCTCCTCTACTAATATCTTCTGATTTATTTATGCCGTTGCGGGATCCAAGACAGTTGTTCATGTCCCTGCGACGTTGGACTTCAGTGTTCCGGTGTTTGCATAGTTGTATCTCCTGTAGGTACTGGTGTACAGAGGTTGCACCAGTAACGGGACGTTGTAGCTAGTTTGTTAAGAAACAGTAGTTAAAAAAAACAGTAAAATATACCAAAATTTACTAGCGCCATCTAGTGAGCAAAATATGGAAGCCGTTATTTTATTATAAAAAAACGTCCAATTAAGAAATAAGCAATGAAAATAAATAGTGTAAATGAACTAAGTAAAATTTGTTACTCACAAGCTACATCAAGCTATGGTAAACCAATATAATCACTATAATCTGACCGTCGAATGTGCGAAAGTGTCATTCAACGCGAGGCCAAGATATACTGGCTTTGTTTAGCCGTGTATTCATTCTTGCTCAACTTAATGATATTAAAGATATGTAGATTATTAGGAATTATGACATAGAACTGATAATTAGCGATAATCTTGTTTTTATTGTGCCTTATAGGACTATTAAATAATTTTACAATTAAAATCTTTTAAAAATAAGCTAAGCATTTATGGTCATGCAAACTAAATGTGTATACAAAATTTCAGCTCAATCTGTTGAAGATATGTACTTCGATTTTGTTCCAAGATCGCACATACACATACATAGATATCAAAAGAGATATAATCCGTCCAAATGAAAACATAAAGGAGATTTTTTATTGTGATTTTTTACATGTAATACATATTCCTAGGTAATAATTGTAATAGTAAGTATAACATGGTAAACTAAGGCTTTCTTCTATTGAAGAATTTTGCCATAATCCCAGAGCCGAATTAAACTTAAAAAGCGCCCTAGGAAACCACGTCATAGGCGCCCCTAATTTCTTTTGTCGCCGCCGCCACTCTATGAGCAGTTGTGCACGCGCGTCTCGCGGCGCCCTCTGTAACCTGGCGCCCGGCACTTGTCAAGTTTGCTTTAGGGATAATACGACTCTGCGCAATTCCAACGCGACGAAAATGTAAAACTGGCTTTTAGTGTACATTTTTTAATATTTATAATTAGTTTTAATATAGGTTAGAATTTAAGTGTAAATATCATGTGATTGGTTGAGAATTGTAATTGTTTAAATAAACATATATTAATGAAATATTAATACGTTTGTTTTATTAACACGTTAAACGCCATGGCAGTCACTGGTGACCGACATTAGCGGAGGATTTGCCTTCAACAGTTTTTTATTGGCAGCCAATGCCTTAATTAGAGGTATAATAGAACAGATTTTATATCTAACTAGCTGTTACCCTTGACTGTGTCCGCATAAAATAATGAATTTTGGCAGAAAATTGGATTTTGAATTAATCTTTGCCAAGATAATTATACCTATTCTACGGCTGTACGACTGTAACAAATGTCATCAGAATCGATTCAGTTCGATTCAGTAGGTACTTAGGTTATATTTATTGCGAAATTAATACATTTTCGTGGTTTCAATACTTTCAATAAATAAACAATCCCACAGGGGTTTTACCCGTATAGTTCTCGGCTCGTACCCAATTGTAATTTAATTGCAACTCACCTTTACCTATTTGAACTATTCCAATAAGCGCGCACAAAGAAAGCACACCTCTTTCTTTAAACACCTCTTAATTACGTATGAAGTCCTAGTTTTACTTTTATTTTAGTAAGTTTTGAAATTAGTATAATGCGTCAAGCGTGACTTTGCATTGATCTCACATATATCTACGTACAGTATTGGAATATGTATCAGAGACATTGTAGAACATACTTTTTTTAAAAGAGTAACGAATGAAGTTTCTTATTCGTTCTTCTCCATTCGAATCTACATTTTGGAATGAGCATCTAGCTTCACCTAGCTTCACCGACGGACTGACTGACAGACTATTATTTATTTTGTATTTGTTGACGTTTCAAACGTACCAAATTATGGTTTAATTGAAATAAATGCTTTGACTTTGACTTAGCTACTGTTTAAATTTAAAATACTAACATATATAAAAATGACAAGTGTTTAATTCAAAATCACATTTAAACTGATCGAAATCCCTCCATGGTGTTTCTTGCTCGATCTTCTTCATTCTAAACTATCGAAGACTAAAAGAATTTTTCGAATCGGACCACTAGTTCCTGAGATTAGCGCGTTCAAACAAACCGTTTAGCTTTAGGCATACCTACTTACATAATTGTAATCCTACAAACATTATAAATGCGAGACAGAGAGAGTCTGTATTTCTGAAGGTTTTTTTTTTATTTTAAGGGGGGAAAATCATCGAATGACTGCTCCCGCCTGGGTGAGGCGGGAGGGAGTGTCAGACTCTTACTGACTAAAAACCACCCCGTTCCTTCTCCTGCACGTCGAGCCGGAGCCCCGGTTACCCGTTAGGTTCTCCGCGACTCCGAATCGGCAATGGCCCTATTGGGCCCCATCTGTGGTGGTCTGATGGCTCTTTGGGGCGCGCGCGGAACGCGACGCGCCGTACGCTCGGGTCTGTTTCTGGTCGGACGGGGAGCCACCCATGCTCGCCGTCCGCAGGCCCATTTCTGAAGGGTAGATATAACCTGGGTGTCTTCAAAACTGAGTGAATAGGTTAGGTACTTATGGGACGACGTGCTCCATCGTAGACCGCATCATCGTGCACCACCAGTGCCTTTAGCCAAACGCCACTTTAGCGCTTGTCTACAGAGAGAGTAGAAAACTAAATGTATGGGGATGACACTGACAAGTGTCAAAATTTACTTCAATTCCATATAATTAGGTTTTCTATTCTACATGTAGACAAGCGCTAAATGGCATTTGGCTACAGCTGCAGGTGAGATAGTGGTCAAACGTCGCCCCATCAAATATATATAAAAATTTAATATATATGATAATTATGTAGGCAGTGATTAAAAAACAACATACAATTCAAGCATTTATTCATATTAATATTTACATAGCAATACAGTGCAGATATACATACAAAAAATTTTATATACATTATACATTTTGACACATATTCAACAAAATCTAACAAAATACACGGCAACACATCGAGCTATACAAACCAGTTTACCGTGGTCCCGCTTCGTATGACCGTTCCGTACATTCAACGGTCAGCTTATACTGGTTATTCATAGCTTGATTTGTAGCTATGAGTACAATGTAACACTCATTTCCAAACAAGTATATTATGAATCTCATATAATTTAGGGTGGTAAACGAGCAGACGGATCACCTGATGGTAAGCGATCAGCGCCCGTGGACACCCGGAACATTAGAACCATTACATTACTAATTTTTGATTATGTAACTATGGTATAATATCCAAAAACCCTTATCAGTGCGATAAGGGTTTTTGGATAGGATCGCCAAATTAATTTGTGGTGTAGATTAAACTAGCTACTGTCTCGCTGCTGCACTGCTCCTACTAGTTTTAGCGTGATATTTTATAGCCCACAAGTTCCCTCAATAACTGGACGATGGAACACAAAAATAATTATTCAATTCGAAAGAGTAGTTGCAGAGCAAACACTCTCTTCTGCTTTATATATAAGATATATACATATACTAGCGGACCCGACAGACTGTCCTGCACCTAGACACTGGCTGCAGCGCCATCTGCCGGGCTGATTTGTGAATGTAAACCATCCAGGGCGCCACTCAAACGCGTACAGAAAAATTCATTTAAATCGGTCAAGCCGTTTAGGAGTTCAATGACATACACACTTACAGCAGAATTATATATATAAAGATATACATTATATATACATGTTATATAATATATATCTTAGCTAATAGTATAAGTAGGTATATATATATATTTCTAGATTTAGTTACATATTCTATATGTTTAGTCTTGTGTCTGCCCAAAACTTGCTAACGATAAAATTCAATGGGTAATTTGTTTCTTCAATACTAACTAAAAATCGCGAGTAACTCACGGAAATATACCACATGAACCACAAAGGGGTTCTTCCTCATGAGCAGCGTGCCCAGTCGCGGCGATGTCGCGCAGCCTATTCTGTGGTTCGAAACTAGTAGAGCTTTTCTCAGAATATTCACGTGAGTACCCCGCAATTTTTAATTAAATTCCTCAATACATTATAAACGCTAAGATAAATGTGAAAATGAATTAATTATACACTAAAAAATATGACCCATGATCAATATTGTAGAGAATACCAGCCCAGATTTTTCTAAAAAAAAAATAACTTAATATTCAGAATCAAAAATAAAACAAGCAATTTTTGTTCTAAAAAACTAACCTAAAAAATAAGAAAAAAAAATATTTAAAAATAATCTTTCAGATACACAGCCTTACATAGTTATAATTACTATTTATTATTATAATTTAAAGTATTATTACATTTAAATTAAATATACAGTACAAACATCTATCATTATTTCATTAAAATATAATTTTGTCTTTGATGAAATTATTAAATAGAATGAACTTAATGGTATTTTTTTAAGGGGGGAAAATCATCGAATGACTGCTCCCGCCTGGGTGAGGCGGGAGGGAGTGTCAGACTCTTACTGACTAAAAACCACCCCGTTCCTTCTCCTGCACGTCGAGCCGGAGCCCCGGTTACCCGTTAGGTTCTCCGCGACAACTTAATGGTATTGAGTTTGGCTTTATTTTCCGTACTCTGAATGCTATTTTAACAGCTACGATAGGGATTGTATAGTTTAGACATTGAATAATTATTGAGTTTTCATTGGATTGAAATTGCATTAACATTGAGATTGGTTTCGAGAGTAAGCACCCAGCTCGTCTCCTTTTGATCGTACCGAGATATTTAGCCTATAACGTTCCTCAATAAATCTACTATCGAACACTAAAGGAATTAATCCATTTGAAGCAGATGTTTCTGAGAATTCCGAGTTCAAACCACGTACTCTTCAGCGTTATATAATACTAGCAGCCCGTCCCGGCTTCGCACGGGGTAGACAATTATTTATTTTTGGAAATTTGGATTGTTGTAGTGACATAACTACAATAGTTGGACATATGCTACCGCGGAGTTTTTGTAGACATTATGATGTTCTTCAATATTGTTGTACATTATTTTGTTCTATCGCTAATAGTTTCGGCAGCGCATTCGATGAAAGACATTTTAAGACTAATTTTTCTACACCTTCGGTTACATTGTTCAAATTTTACCAAGGACCCCTAATTTTTTACAAAGGAAATGTAGCCTATGTCAAATTGGAAGAATGTAGCATTCTATTGGTGAAAGAATTTTTTAAATCGGCCCAGTACTTTTTGAGCCTATTCATTACAAACATACAAAAATAGGTACAAATCTTTCCTCTTTATAATATTAGTATAGAAAAGTAAGTATAAATATAATATTTTCAAAATCTAGCTACCTATTATGACTTTGCGAACCGAGCTATCGACTTCGAAAACTAAAGAATATAATGACTTTGCGAACCGAGCTATCGACTTCGAAAACTAAAGAATATAATTTTAAACTGTCAAACACCGCGAGGACACCGGTGACCGAAACAATTGTTCTTTAATGTGTCTATAGTGACGGTACTCAAAGAGTAAGAGGTTTTCGGGAAATGCTTGCGATTCAAAAAAAAAAATGCCTATATCTTTGACTTTCTTCTTTGCAAAAAATATAGATGTTTGTACTATATGCAAAATACATGATAACGGCTCATTTAACTAATAAAATTTAACTAATAATAAAATATAAAATAATATTCCACTTAAAATTTTAAACATGGGTTTTTTATGAAAATTCAAATTCCAATCTCAATTAACTTAAAAAATAAATACCATACACCAAACACGATGGTACCACTGAAAATTTTTGGAAAAAAACGCAAAAATATTTTACCCGACTCGGGAATTAAACGAGAGACTCTTTGCAGGTAATCACACTACCTACCATTTGCCGTAGTCACATACTATTTTATTATAAACTAACTTTTGACAGCGACTTCGCACGCATTAACTTTACATATAAAAGTACCTCTTGAATTACTATCTATTAAAAAAACCGCATCAAAATCCGTTGCGTAGTTTTAAAGATCTAAGCATACATAGGGACAGACAGACGGCAACCGACTTTGTTTTACACTATGTAGTGATTTTTATCTTTATATTACTGTGATAATCTCAAAAACTACTGAACGGATTTGAATGTAATTTGGCACAGAGATAGACTATAGTCTGGGATAACACATGGACTACTATTTAAACTAAAAACATGGGCGAAACCGCTGACAAAAGTTGGCTTAATACAGTAATTATATAAATCTTAACACGTTTTTTTTAGTACCAAGATATAGGTATTAAAATACTTAAAACTAAATTATACTATGCACAACAATTTGTCCGTAATTTGTAAAAAACATTTGATTTCATAAAACAGTCAATTATTTGGGGCATATACAGATATTTTTTGTTGACTGGACATCTACACTACATGAGCTGCTGTTTACATGTGAACATTAGCTCATGACGATACCTAAGTACGTGTGTCGCCTGGACAATCAACCTCGCTACATCCTTGTTGACTGGACATCTACACTACATGAGCTGCTGTTTACATGTGAACATTATTTGAGATATTAGGTTATGAAGAATGATTTATATATTTTTATTATATTTT